GAGGAGGGCCGGGCAGCAGGTGCTCTGCGGGGTGGGCTCTGCAGACCCGGGAAAAGGGTTTTTCCCAGAGAGCGGAAAGGGAGAGTGAGGTGTTTCTTCAGGGGCTGATGGGGAGAGGCAGGAGGGTTCAGAGGGAGCAGCCTCAGGGGTGACCTTGTGTTGGGGCCCTCGTCCCCTCTGCCCTCTGTTTGCTGTCGGTGTTTCAGCAGTGGGTACAGAATCACGGTGGTGCTGCTGGAGGTTTGGGTTCGCCAGTTTGGCAAGTGCCACAGAGAGGGAAGGTGGACTTGGGTGGACATTGACCTGTACAAACAGTTTTGGTAGCAGGGCCCCCTGCTAGTATGCAGACCTTGGATACCTGAGGCAGCCCCTCTGGGAGGTGGTTGTCAGGGTGACAGCTGAGTTTTTATTATTCCTGCACAGTTCAAGCAACACATGCCAAAGGGTACGTGGTGCCCTTGTGGATAATTCCTGTGTGGCTCCCAGCCACTTTTCATACAACTGCAATTTGACTAGATGCATGTACAGCCTGACCTACTGGAAGTAACTCACAGTAGGTGACAGTTGAGGTGGTCCCTCAAAGAATGCACTTCCAAAATCTTGCAGTTTAGAAAGCTGTGTGAAACTTGTGAGGGCGGATGCCAGCAACATCCCATCTACGTTGTTGGTCTCTAAACTGGTTTATGCCTTGATGCATAAGTTTTGCTTGGGATATTTGTGTTGCTGGAGACACTGGAGGAGGTCATCAGTGCTCTGCTCGCGTTGCTGGCAGCACCTCGGGGTGTGATCTTGAAGTTTCTTTGCCACAAAGTGAATGGCACTCACTGCATTGCCCCACTGACCCTGTAAGGTGTCTAGGCAGTGAACTCTGCATTTGTTATCTATGTCATTGATACCTAAAGACAGGTATCCACACCCTGCTTGATTCTTTTGGATGTGTTGCCCATGGGGAGAGTCACTGTGACTTCAGTTGCTGACCTGTGTTACACAAAAATGGGTTGGCTTCTTCTTTGTTGACTCTGCTCCTAATCTTAGGCAGTTGGCACAGGCTCCCATTTACTGCCCCTTCAGGATTTGTGGGTTTTTATGTGTGCACCATATTCCCTCTTCACGTGTCTCCTTCCACAGACATTTGCTGCATTTCCTTCACATCCTCACTTGCACCAGTTCCTATCTCTGAACTTCTTAGTAAAAAGGGAGCAAAACATGTGTCTTGAAATATTTTGTGGTCTTCCAGTTTGGTCACTCCCTGTTTTGTCCAGATCAGGCTGAAGGATTCACTTCCCACCAAGATGTCTTTTTTTTTTGGCACAGCTGTTATTAAAAAAAAAAGATCAAAAAGGTGTTTTTATCTGGGCTGAGGAATGCCACACACACAGGTTCAGCTGCAGGTTGGTTTGCTTTATGTCTCAGCATGGACTGTTGCCTTCAGTCCCTTTGAGATGACTGAGGAGGCCTGTATCCCTGATGTTACTAGACTGCACATTTATTATACATTATTATACATTTTCTGCATTAGAGGCTACATCTAGATCAACAGCTTTGCAAAACCAAAGCTCTTGGCTGTGTCCTTGGTGGCACAAAACAAACAGGAAAAATGCAGCTGCAGTTCTGAGCATGGAAAATGTCAGCAGGTTGTGTTGTACTTTGCACTCCAGTCAACAGAACTTGAGGCACTTGCAGCAGCAGTATTCTGACAAGAATGCCAGCTATTATTCTGACAGAGCAGTGCTTTGATAATGTGTTTCCAGAATGTCTCTTTTAATTCTTTTTATATTGGTGAGGTACAAAGTATGAGTTGAAGAATATGCTGGGATTTAGAATGTATTTGATTAGCTGAGGTGCAAAACAGTGCTCCCCAAAAGAGGAAGGGGTGCCCTGCTTTCTCTGCAGTACGGCAGCAGAAAATCTCTAGTAGCAGCTGTGTGAGGGACCAGCCCTCAGAACCAGTACTTGCTGGAGTTGCTGTGGAAACCCCATAAATCTCATTTGCATCCCAAAAGGCCTTCCTGAGAGGATGGAGTCAGCAATGATGGCTGCATATGGCCTGGCCTGCATGTACAGCCTTTGAGATAAGAACAATGATGGAGGGGCAGAGGAGGCAGCTCCTCTCCAGCTGCTCAGGCTTATGACTCAATCACTGATGCTCATCCTTCTGAAACAAGGAAACTAGGCCTGTCAAGCAGGGGGCTGCACTGGTGGGCTTTGGGAGCCTCACTGACACCAACTCTCCCCTGTCGGCCCAGCACTGGATCCAGGACTGGGGATTTTCTATCTATCTCTCTAATCTTTCCTTCTACTCTCTCTCTCTCTCTCCCTCCCTTCCTAACATCATCAAGTAACACAAGGCCTAACCATGTTTTTTTCTCAGGTTGTGCAGCTTAAACATATCTGTATTGTGCTCTTGTGATCTAATTGTCAGCCTTTATGATTGTGCAGCCAAAGATAATACTGGAAGTGTCCATATTCCTTCTATAGTTTTAATTAAACCTAATATTCAAATACAGACCTTCAGTGTCGTTTCACCTTCATCTGCTCAAGGGCTTTGGATGGTCGAGTATTTCCTTGGACTGTGACATTTTCATCTCTTCCCCTGGAGGAGCCAGGTCTGAGCCTAAGGTTGGATTCAGCCACACTGAGGAGCCACACTCCTCTCTGAGGAGTTTAGAAAGCAAGAGGGGCCCAATCTGAACGTCCCTGTGTTGTCATACCCAGGTTGTGACAAGCTTCTATCTAGTGAAGCTAATACATGGAGGACTTCTCTAAAGCTTGTCTCTCCAGTCCAGAGATAATTGTCTTGCTAACTGAAGATGCTGTGGCAAGGAGAAGTAACTGGCTGTGGGCTCACTGATGTGTATGGAGCACATTTTTGAAGAGGAGCTGTGTGAATAGGAGGTCTGCTCAAAGCCCAGTTTGAGGCTGTGGGTAAAGTGATCTAAACTGCATGAAATTTTGAGCAGCAAATGGGTTATGAAGAGTTAATTGTTAGCACTAACTACTTTGATGAAGATTTTCTTAGAGACTTGATCCTAGAGGTGGGTGCTAGGGGGGTATCTTGATGTTGTAAAACCCAACAAAAGGCTTCCTTAGTCTTTTGAGGCAGCTGAGGGAGTTCAGTTCCAGCCTGCAGATCTGGGTGGAAGAGTGACTCAGAGCCCAGTCACTACTTGTTTAATTCAGATCTTCTCCTTCGTCCCATAAAGAGTTGTGTCATGCCAGTTGCTAGAGGTTGTGACTTTAATTGTGATTGTGATTTACAGTAACATTTATAACCGATTTATACTTGGGCTTATTATTATGTAGCAAAAATATTTTCTGTTATTTATAGGAGTAATAAACATACTGTGATATTAGTGCTTTACAGGAATAGGAGGTTCAGAATCTTCCTGGTTAATGAAGGAGAATGTTTTTGTCAGCCAGTGGGATGAAGGATTCAGCTGAGACTTGAGGTGCTTCAGGGCAGGAAAGTTTAGTAATTTAGTTTACTCCCCTGTGCCAGCAAAATGAAGTGAACTTAGGCAGGACCTGGGCTGCACATTCATAGCCATCCTCGCTGCATGGGAATGTCCCACTGAGCAGGCAGAACCCTGATCTGCTCAGGATTTTCCTGAGCTAACCTGGACTAACTTTGTGCAGGTTTGGGTGCTACAGTATAAGAAGGACTTTGAGGTGCTGGAGAGGGAGCACAGAAGGGCAACTGGGCTGCGGAGGGGTCTGGAGAACAGGTCTGATGAGGAGAGGCTGAGGGAGCTGGGGCTGTTCAGCCTGGAGAAGAGGAGGCTGAGGGGAGACCTCATTGCTCTACAGCTCCCTGAGAGGGGGTTGTGGTGAGGAGGGTGTTGGGCTCTTCTCCCTGCTGACCAGTTGTAAGACAAGAGGAAATGGGGTCCAGTTGCTCCAAGGGAGTTTCAGATTGGGTATTAGGAAGAATTTCTTCAGAAAAAGAGAGGTGAGGCCTTGGAACAGGCTGCCCAGGGAGGTGGTGGAGGCACCATCCCTGGAGGTGTTCAAAAAATGGGTGGAGGTGGTGCTTTGGGAGATGGTTCAGTTGTCAGGGGTTATAGGGTGGACAGTCGGACTTGATGATCTTGAAGGTCTTTTGCAACCTGGATGATTCTGTGATGGCACCAGGTGTTCCCATGGCTGTGCACAAACAGCTGAATGCCTTTTGTTTTGCTTTTTGTCCATAGGAAAACCGTCCAATCCCGGAACCAGGTCCCAATGGTAGGTCTGGATCTGTCTGCTTTCTTTACTCATCTCTTTCACATTTGTTGCTCCTTGATATTATAAAGAGATAAAATATTTCTGAGAAAGTATGAAACAATCCAAAATAATAATAAAAAAGAAAATAATAATACAAAATAAAAGAATGTGGCTGAAACAGACAAGGCTGCATTTCCACTTGAAAAGAGCTGGAGCAGTCACAAATACACCACTTTATATGGCTTTTTTTTTGCTTCCTGTTTTGTCAGGTGATGTATTTCACATTAGACAGCTCTTGGGACATGTTGGATGATCTTATTGCAGGACTAAATATTAACAGGCCAGGAACATGGGCTGATGGAAATTTGATTGACTAACTCTCCAGAACTGAAATGGTGGCTTAAGGAGAAGGAAAAATGAAATGGGCTTGATCTGTTATTCTTAATAATAGTCTTAATATTCTTAGTAATAGTCACACCTCTCTTAGATTGTATTAGGGTTTTTCTGACAGGGGTCTCACTAGTTTTGTGTTTCAGCACGTCTCATGAACATGCCACCCAGCCTAACGTGTGCACCTGCTGTTCTGCTACATTTCTGTAAGGCTGGTTATGAGGGTGGTGAGACACTGAAAGAGGTTGCCCAGGGAGGTCATGGAAGCCCCATCCCTGGAAGCGTTCAAGGGCAGGTTGGATGGGGCTTGGAGCAACCTGGTCTGGTTGGAGGTGTCCCTGCCCATGTAGGGAGGTTGGAACAAGATAATCTTTAAGGTCCCTTCCAACCCAAACCTTTCTATGATATGATACTATGAAATTTGGATGTTTCACTGCTGCCCTGGTGTCACAAGCCGATGCCAGGGGGGCTATTGGCTGTTAGAATGTTTAGATTTATGTGGGGAAGAAAATAACCTTTTCTCACACTTGGCCTTTGGCGTGGGGCACAGGGGTAGCACACGTACTGCTCTCCCAGTGCTTGAGAAGGGAAGTTTTTCCACAAGGAGCCTTCCTTCCTTTTCTGGCAGAGGTCCTGCTGCGGATGCACTCAGTTGGGATCTGTGGCTCTGATGTTCACTACTGGCAGCATGGCCGGATCGGGGATTTTGTCGTGAAGAGCCCCATGGTGTTGGGGCATGAAGCTTCTGGGACTGTGGTCAAAGTGGGATCAGGAGTGTCTCATCTGAAACCAGGTAATAGGAATCAAAACTGCCTCTTTGGTTATTATGCTAAGCAGTTCCGGAGAATGTGTGAATGAGCTGTGCTTTTTGATTAGAGAAATTTATCTGGTGTTTTGAGCTGTGAATTGTACAGTGTCACCTTCTTCACACAGTATGACTGTGCTGCTATTAATCAACCAGCTTGGCCGCTGTAGTTTCTGGTATTTCTTAGGAATGTTTTGTCCTGGGATGTCTTGAGCTGCTCTAACTTTATTTTCATGCAAGCAGAGTGGATGCTGGTACAAGATGCCTTTTGAAGAAGCTAGAGAAAGCTTCAGAAACCATGTGCATTGCCCTAGCCAACTGCCTGCTGTTAATGTTTCTTCTGTGGGTGTGTTCTTGAAGGAGCAAATGGCCTCCTGCAGCGGGGAGAGGTCACTGGGGCAACTGTACCAGGCCCCGTGGTGTGACTTCTGCAGTTTGTTGTGCTCATGAGTGTCCTAGAAAATGGGCTGAGCAGTGAATTTTGCAAAGTCTACTGATCATAGCAACTTAGGCAGGGTGGAGAGGACAGGGGAGAGCTAGCAAGAGCTAGAGAGACCTTAAGGGTGTCTGGGCAATAAGATGCAAGTGAAATTCAATGCAGATAAAGTGTTGTCCATGACAGAAGAAACAAAAGCATCTTCATATCTGAAATGATGGGTTGACCATTACTGCAGAAGCACAGTGGCTCTGACACAGTGCATGAGAGTGTTGGCTCAGTAACAGTGAAAAATGCAAATCAGTGTTAGGAAAGGGACAGAGACTCAATCAGAGGACATCACTTCACACCTGAAGCTCTGCAGGCAGTTCTGGTCTCCTCCTTTCCAAAGGGATAATGTTGTGAGCCATTCCCCACAGATGCAGAGGAAATAAAGATGTTTCAGAGGAGGGCAAGGAGCTAATGAGATGTGGAGCGGTGTGACATTACTAAGTTAGGAACTTGAGCTAGGAGCTGGAGAGACAACTCAAGGACAAGTGGCACAGGTCTGAAGGCTCCTGGAGGGCAGGGAGGTTGCCTCTTCTCTGGTTCTTCCAATACAGAAGCAAGGGTAGCAGGAGCCAGGTGCAGAACTCACCTAAGACAGAGCAGACCTGCTGGCCTCCTGGGCAAAGGATGACTTGGGTGCTAGAAGCTTAGATGGTGGAAAGTGGAGGAGAAATTGTTGAGGGTTGCTAAAGACAAAGGAACCACATGCAGCTTGGGAGACACCACAGCTGAATCTAATGGGAGGCTGCGAGAACATTTCACTGTGTGCTTGTCCTGCTCCTCTCAACCCAGACATCCCTGGCTGGCCAAGATAGAGGCAGTGCAGTGGGTGAGATGGCTCTTCACTTCCATCCATCCTCCTGCTTGTCATCTTGGCTGACTGCAAGCCTGTGGAGAGCTTCACTGACAGATTTGCCTTTGATTGGCTTCCCGTCAAATCATATGTTCTGTCTGGTGTCCCTTGCATACTTGCAGGTTGTACTGTGGTCACACAGTTGTTTTCTTTAATCTGGCTGGCCTTGTGATTGCAATAGTTGCTCTTAGTCCTGTGGCATGTGTCCTTCCAGCAGTCTGGGCTACTCCCTCATAGCATCAAAATGTCTCTGTCCCCTGATAAGTGCTGTCTGAGTCCTGGGTGTGCTTCTGCACCACCAGCTTCCTTCCTGAGGAGTAGCTCTTTCCAGTTGGCAGTGTGATGGCCAACACAGCTCACCTGCTTTATCCAAACTGTTTCCTCTTCTGATTAGTATGGATTCTGAAGCAAATCTGGTCACCGTGTGATTGCCTGGGGTGAGGGCTGCCTTTACATCTTCTGAGGTTGAATGCAAGTGACCCAGCTTCCATTTGCTCTGTGTCTGTGCCTCTCAAACACCATCTCAGGTAACTCTGAAGATCTTGGTGAGGAGGACACTGTGCAGGAAGTGTTTAGGGACAACCCTGTTGTGTGCAGCGTCGTCTTTCTCAGTTAGCAGATATCCCGCATTCTTCCCTTGTGCCAGGGTTTCATGCTGTCTCCTGTGGTTGTTTCGTGCTACTCATACCTATGTGCTCACCTTCTTCCTGAGTAACCCAGCCTGCTTTCACCCTGGCAGGTGATCGAGTGGCCATCGAGCCTGGTGTCCCAAGGGAAATGGATGAGTTCTGCAAAACTGGCCGTTACAACCTGTCTCCAACCATCTTCTTCTGCGCGACACCTCCCGACGATGGGAACCTGTGCCGCTACTACAAGCACAGTGCCAGCTACTGCTACAAGTGAGTTGGTACTCCCTCTGTAGAGAATTGTACACACCCTGCTGAGGATTAGCTGAAGCAATCACCCCTTGGCCCTTTGATTATTGCAGTGAGCTCTCTTGGCTTCAACACGACAGGTCTTGTTGCTTTCGGATCCATAAATAACGTGTAAGGCTCGGATGGCAGCCACTTTGCGAAGGATTTGTCAGGCAGGTGCAGTTCATCCCCTCTGGTGCCAGACATAAACAAACATTTCTTGCATGTTTCCTGGGATGTCACCACTGTTTTACACTTTAATTGTTTTCCCATTTGCTCACTGCTCTCAGTTTCTTTTCTGCTGCCTTTATATAGCCTTGCCTTCTTAGGAGGGTGCCTGGAAGGCCTTGGTCTGATTCTCTGAGCTGGGCAAGCTTTACTGCTGCTCTTCAGGAAGCACCTTATCAGTTGCTGGTGCTTTGCTCTGTCATTTGGACAAAGTCATCCTACTTCAAGCAAAGCAAGAACAGAAAGCAGTGTCCCTGCTAAGCTGCTTTTTGTGTGGTGCTGGGTGGCCTACTCAGGTGCCAGCTTGACATGTCAGTTCTCATAGAGAGTTCAGCAAACGAGTTTGTTCTTAGTTGTGGCAGGACTGACCTGGTTGCTTAAAAGCAAGTGGCTGCTTAAATACTCTGGTGAACATAGAAATATACCCAAAGAAGTGCATTTACATGAGGGATTAAAAATAGTCTCAGGTAGTGGCCCCCTGAGATGGATCTACCTGTGGAGCTTGTTCTTTCTCAGTCTGTGAAGAGCTGGTACTTCAGCAGAAATGTCCTTGGGATTGATCTTTGGTGTCTGCAGAGGAAGATTTCAGGATCCCATCAAGTCAGAAGGAGGCACTTAACTGCTTTTCCCATGAGAGTCCTCAGGCAGGAAGCTTCTTTCAAAGCAGATTCTAAGCAGCTGCTCTCAGGATGAGATGCTTCTCTGGATGGCACAAAGTTCTCACTGTCCAGGGCCACTGCCACTGGTTTCCTGTGTGTTGTTAAAATAACATTTTCTGACAACATCACAAGTTTTGGCTAGGGAAGAAATGGCTGGTTTGGAACTATCTTCTTGCAGTGTTTTGCCTTGTCCTCCAATTTGAGTAAATATTACTCTGGCTAATTGTGTGGGGTTTTTAAGCTGTGAAATGCAAAACCTGCAGCTGGTGCTTCCAGTTTCAGATCAGTGATGCCATGGCAGAGCAGATTCCCTGGCATGAAGTCACTCTGCCAACACAGACTTGCCAAGAAAAGGTGATGGCTGAGCTCAGCGAGATCTCACAGGTTGGGGCAGGGATTATCTGTCCTGCTGTTGCTGAACAGACTCTTCCTTGGATGCTCTGCATAATTTGAGGGAGGTGGGATTAAGCTGCAAAGCTGCCCTCCCCATTGACAAGGTGGTGCCCAGTAGTAGCAAATGTGATGCCAAACTCAGCAAAGGAGTTTTTTATTTGACTTGCCAAGTCCTGGAGACATGACACAGGAAGCTGTAGGTCCCTGTGTTTGGCGCTTGGGCAGACCTCACTGGTAAATGGTTTAGGTGCACTTGATGCTGCTTCAGAGGATGGAAAGAAGCAACACTTTTGAAATACCTTCCAGCCCTTCATTTCTCAGGCCGAGGGTGAGAGTGTGTTTTGGTATGGTGATATAGACCCATATTTGGTCTTTGAGTGTCATGGCTTTCCTTATCACCCTCACAAACCTCTTTGGTGACTGTTGCTTGTGTCTGGTTCTTGCAGGCTTCCAGATAATGTCACCTTTGAAGAAGGAGCCCTGATTGAGCCCCTTTCGGTGGGAATCCATGCCTGCAAAAGAGCAGGAGTCACTCTGGGAAGCAAAGTCTTTGTGTCTGGCTCTGGTACAGTGAACATACTCAGTCCTTGGGTTGTCTGCCTGCTGCAGCATGGAGGGGGATGGACAGGGTGCTGCAGTGAACCTTGGTGATGGCAGAGTGACGGCGGTGCTGGGGTGGACCTGGAGGCTGGGCTTGCCTGTGCTGCACTGCAGGGATGTGTTCTGAGCAGCCCAAAAGCAAAGCACAGGGTCTGGGCATGCTGAGCATTCCAGCTTGAGGGAACCCCTCATGGAGCAATAGCTGCTGTCTCAGCAGTGGTCTCACTACCCTGGCATCGTGGTGATGCTGACCACACCAAGCTGTGTGGAGTGGCTGACACCTTGGAGGGAGGGGAGGCCATCCAGAGGAACCTTGACAGGCTTGGGACATGGGCCAGTGCCAACCTCATGAAGTTCAACAAGGCCAAGTGCAGGGTCCTGCACCTGGGTCACCACAACCCCAGGCACAAATACAGGCTGGGGGGAGAATGGCTGGAGGGCAGCCCTGAGGAGAAGGACTTGGGGGTGGGAGGAGATGAGAAGCTGGACATGAACCACCAGTGAGTGCTGGAGCCCAGAGGGGCAATTGTGTCCTGGGCTGCATCAAAAGAAGTGTGGCCAGCAGGTCCAGGGGAGGGATTCTGCCTCTCTGCTCTGCTCTGGTGAGACCCCACCTGGAGTGCTGGGAACAGCTCTGGAGCCCTCAGCACAGGAGAGACATGGAGCTGTTGGAGAGGGTGCAGAGAAGGGCCAGGAAGATGAACAAAGGGCTGGAGCAGCTCTGCTCTGGAGGCAGGCTGAGGGAGTTGTGGTGTTCAGCCTGGAGAAGAGAAGGCTCCAGGAGACCTTAGAGCAGCTTCCAGTGCCTGAAGGGGCTCCAGAAAAGCTGGGGAGGGGCTTTTCACCAGAGAGGGCAGTAAATAGGACAAGGGTAATGTTTTTAATCTGAAAGAGGGGAGATTTAGGTTAGACATCAGGAAGAAATTCTTCACCATGAGGGTAGGAAGGCACTGGAATAGGTTCCCCAGAGAGGTTGCTGATGTCCGCTCCCTGGGGGTGTTCAAGGCCAGGTTGGATGAGGCTTCTGCAGCCTGGTCTGGTGGAAGGTGTTCCTGCTCATAGCAGAGGGGTTGGAGTCTGATGATTTTGAAGGTCTCTTCCAACCTAAACCATTCTATAATTCTGTTATTCTATCCCAGAGGCTCCCATCTGGAAAACTGGGAACATGCTGAGCTCTGGGCACTTCCAGAGCCTGTGCCTGGTGCTGTCTGGCAGCATAAGTTATCTTTCTCCCTTTGTTCCCAGGACCAATTGGCCTTGTTAATGTGCTTGTTGCTAAGATGATGGGTGCAGCTGCTGTGGTAATTGCTGGTAAGTCCTTTTAACCTTGAAGAGTTAACCTTTAACCTCTAATAGTTTGCCTGTTTCCCAAGATAAAACACTTTGGAGTAGTTCCAAATTGTTACTGCAAGGAAACTGCTGGGAAAGGCACCCCAAGCACAATGGAAAGTCTTTTCATGAATTAGCATGTCTGGAGGGAATTCTAGTAAACTTCTCATTGCCCAGAACTTTGATCTGTACACTAATTGGTATCAGGAAGAAGCTGAAGGTTGCAACTAATGCTTCTCTGCTAGGTTAGTGGACTGGGGAAGGAACTTCTGCATCCTAGGCCAGGCAGGTTGTGCGTGTGGAGTAGCCACAGTGCTTCAAGGAGAATAAGCCAGAGGCTAAAGAGTGGTCGTAGGAGCAAGACTAGGGACTGTTTTCAGACTTCTAGCAAGTCCTGTGGGAAGAGGCAATGTACCTGCATGGCAAAGCTCCAGGTTACAGAACTTCCACTTCCTCTTTGGGCCTCTGATCACTACCTGTTGTCTTGGTTCTGTTTTGAGCTCTTCTGACCTCAACTTTGTGTCTTCTAGGCAGCAGAGCAGGCAGCACAGCTTATTTGATACCCTGTTTGGAGCTCATCTTGGAGATCTGCTCCAAGCAGGGATTTTTACTTCCTCTTGCAGTACTAGGTGGTGGCCTGGACACCGTGTTTGCACAGTCCTTGCTGTGTGCAGCCTCATTGTGCCCCTGCAGGCCTCCTTTGCTGCCCATCTTTCTGCTGTTCTGCTGCAGGGTTCATTTTCCAGTGATTATCCACAATGACTGAAATGGCCTTTTCAGGATTCCTGCAGTTCAGAAAATGGGCCTTCCTTGCATAATTGTGTCCTGGAGGTTTCTAGGCCAGAGGCCACTTACTTGCAGCTGTGTGTTTGTCGAGCTGCATCTGGAAAACCTCTGAGGGTGGAGATCCCACCTTTCTGGGATCAGTTTCCTCCTCCAGGACTGCATCACCTTTAGATGAAGAAGCTTTTTCTGGGATCCACTCACAGATGTTTGTGGATCTTTCCCCTTGTCTGCAACAACTGGAATGAGTCTTGGTCATCCTTGGAGCAACTCTTCTGGTTGTTGCAGACAGCCATTGGATCCCCTCTTCTCTTGGCCATGCTCACCCAGCCCAGCCTCCTCCACCTCTCCTCTAAGGTTCAGGCTCTTCCCTGTGTACCTTGCCCAGAAGAATGGAGAGCTGGAGTAACCTCAGGAAATACACTGGTTGTAAGTTCCATCTGGGGTTTGAACAGGGCCTGGAAGGGGTGTTTCCAGTTCTTGCTGCTGCTTTTTGATCCTTCTGAAGGGTGATGGCTGGGAGGAGCAGTTACAGGTACGACTAGACAGCAAACACAGGTTGTTGTAGCATTTTTGGCCCCAAGCCCCAACCTGGACCTTTCAGAAAGTTGTTAGTGCATCTCCCACTTTCAGACCAGGAGTATTTTTCACCTCTCAATTACTGTGTTTCCATCTTTGGGCTGAGAAAAAAAATTCAGGGCCCACCCTCTTGCATTTGTTGAAGTACCTTCAGTAGCAGCTCAGCCAAAAACCTAAGGCAGATTATTGCCTTCTCCTCCCTAAGTCCTCTTGCTGCCAGGAATTTTTTTGCTTTGCTGGCCCCACCCTGCAGGCATGTGCTTGATGGACATGATCAGTGCAGGCCTTAGATTTTGTGAAATAATGTCATTTGAGGACAATGGTTTCTACAGCAGAAAAAGCAGCTCTGCCTCTTGAATCACATACGAGGAATGTTGCTGCTGAGCTGAACTGGTGCAGGAGCTGGTGGGTGACTTGGTCCTTGGGTGGGGAAGGGCTTGGTGAGCTGGCAGGTGTTGGTGGTGCTGAGGCAGCTGGTTCAGCCTGCCACCCCATTCTCGGTCCTGCCTGCCTGTGTTCTTCCCTGGAACACTCAGAGCTGCTGTTACCTCTGCTTGGAGACTGCTCCTGGGGACCTTATGGCCTCCCAACATAGGAAGGACATGGAGCTCCTGGAGAGAGTCCAGAGGAGCCCACTAAGATGATCCAAGGGCTGGAGCAGCTCTGCTCTGGAGACAGGCTGGGAGAGTTGGGGTGTTCAGCCTGGAGAAGAGAAGGATCCAGGGAGACCTTAGAGCACCTTCCAGTGCCTGAAGAAGCTCCAGGAAAGCACCTTTTAGGGACTCCAGGAAAGCTGGGGAGGGGCTTGGGACAAGGGCAGGGAGTGATGCAATGTGGGGGAAGCATTTAAAACTAAAAGGGGGGTGATTTATTTGAGGTATCAGAAATGAATTATTGAGTGTGAGGGTGGTGAGACACTGGAACAGGTTGCCCAGAGAAGCTGTGGCTGCCCCATCCCTGGAAGCGTTCAAGGGCAGGTTGGATGGGGCTTGGAGCAGGTGTCCCTGCTCATGCAGGAGCTGGGTGATCTTTAAGATCCCTTCCAACCCAAACCAGTCTGTGATTCTATGATATGATTCTATTACCTTTGCCAAGTAGGTCTGTGTAGTACATGCCATGGGGCTCCCAGGTGGCCATGGGAAGTTCTTGGTATCTGGTTTGAAGGGACAGCAAACTTGGGCATATGGAATTAACCCCTTCTTAATCTTTATACCTTGGCCTAGGTAATTCTCCAGACTTGCAGGCATCTCTCACCTGGGGGGTGTTTGGCAGAGATGCTCGGAGACACCCACGGAGGTTCTGTCCCTAGTTAAATATTTGTACTTGATGAGAGCTGAGGAATGGGTTTAGTTTGGCTCATTGCCACTGAGGATTTTGCTGCCCTTCTGAAAGAACTGCTTTTTGCATCAGCTTTTGGAGCCAACACTTGCAAGATGACTGCCCACAGAGCCTCTCTTGTACTTTGCTACCAGGTTCTTTGAATTTATTGCCCAGATAATTGATTTGTTATGTGTTTGTCCATGAAGAGCTTTGTCTGCGCAACATTTTAGGCTTTGAACGTTTGTGTTTGTTTTGACAAGCTGCACACAAGTAAAGAAATATCTAGGAGGGCTTTTTTCTGACATGGAGGGAGCTCAGTTCCTACAGCTTCTGCAGCAAGTGTCTTTAGTCAACACATTTTGGGAAGTGAGGTCTTTGCTGAGGGGTCAGTTCTGTTCTCTGAGATTCCTACGAGTGGCTGGCACTGTGGCTGGAGAGTAATGCTCAGCCCTACCCTCCCACAGGCTGGTGTGTGCCAAAGTTTGCCTTTCCTCCCAGATAGAGCAGCTTGCCTGATAAAGCTGCTTTTGATAACCTTTGCCCTTCTCCCTGAAGTGCTTTATTCCTGGCAGACTAATGTTCTCCCTTTTGAACTGGGAGGTGAGGTGTTGGTGTCTTTCATGGACTGCAGTTTGGTGCAGAGGATGGGTTGGTTTCACGGGTCCTCTCTCCACTCTGCTGCTGAGTGGGTGTGATTGATATTTATGGGCAACCTTCTCCCAGCCTTCTGTCTGGCTGTGGATGTTGCTGTTGCTCTGAAAAGCTGTTTTGCTCCTTAGATACATGTTAAAGAGCAGCCTTGATCCCCAGCAAGTAAAGTGACAGTTTGGGTATTCAAGTGGCAGTGTTGGGCTGTCTTGCCTCACTCTGTCTGCCACTAAACATACACTTAGTAATTCCTACTTAAGGGAAACTGTGTGATCTAAATCTGAAGTCCTGGGTGATGGTGTCTCCAGAAACAGGTCAAGGTCAGGGAACATGAATAACTGGAAGAGCTGAACTCCTTTGTGAAAAAGATCAACACAGAAAGCATGAAGGCTTCCAGAAAATTTGCCTGTTAAGTTGCCTCATAAACCATCATGAGAAGCTTAAGTGTAATTTGATAACTTCCATGGGAGCTGAGATACAAGAACAGGCAACTCTTAATCTGGCAGCCAAAACTTTAATTAGTTTCAGTGGCTGGGGAGTGAAAACAACTTCCTGACTAGAGGCAAGATGCAACCCTTTAACTGTATAATTGACCAACTTGGTCCTTCTCAAGACTCAGAAGTATTTGGAGCTCCAAGCAACACCTTTTAACGCAAGTAACTGTCTCATTTGATAACCTGCAGATCTGTCAGATCTTCAGTAAGTGCTTAGTGGTGATTCCCTAAGGCCAGGTGTACTGAGATGTTATCACAGCTCTGACACTATTGCTGCTGTGTCCTATGTGCCTCTCTGATGGGAGAACTTCCTTCCTGGGCAGGTCAGCAAACCAGAGGGTATCTGTAGGAAAGCCTTGGGGGCTGCCAGAGAGTGACTTTTGTGCCCACTTTGAAATGCACTGGCTGGCAGGGCTTGTTGCTCCTGTACTTTGCCTCTGGATGTATTTCTGCCAGAGAGACAGTATAAAATACATTAGTGACTGGACAGATAGTGTAAGTAGCTGGATCCAGCTGTGTCTGCTGCTGGTGTTTGGAGCCCAGACTTCATTGGGAGCCCTGTTGAGTCCCTGTGGTTTCTCTGCCTCACACTGAGATTTGGAAGACACCAGCCATGCCAGACAGAAGGGTTTTTTGGCATTTCAAGGGCCTCAAAAATGCCCATGGTCTTGCTGCACAGAGGTGTGTGAGTGCAGCTCTGGTAGCAGAGGGTCAAGCAGGACCATCCGTGTGGGCGGAGGCCCAGTGCTCAGAGCGTGGGAGGGACAGACATGACTGATCCCTCCTGCAGCCACAGGAACTTGAGCTATGTTGGGGCTTCCAGGGTGATGCTGCCCTTACTTGGCAGCCTTGGCTTTTCCTCCTTCATCTGCATTTTATTACTCTTTGATATCCTTTCTTGGAACCTCCTCTACCAGTCTCCTGGGTGCTGATCTCAGTGGGTGTGCCCACACCTGGCACCCTGAGCCTGGGGTGGACATGTCCACTGTCTGCCCTGCCAGTCACATCATGCAAGCCTAGTGGTGGGCAGGGTTGGTCATCTGGGCTGGCCTGCTGGGCCTGAGTCAAGAGTGGCTCATGTCAGAGCAGTGGTCTTGTCCTCCTCTTTTCCCTTGATACCCTCACCCCCATCTCTGACTTCTCTGAAGTCTATGCCCTGGAGAGGAGTATGCTCCTGGCAAAGGCATAATTTTCTGAGTCATCAAGCTGAGGACCTCTGGAAGGAGACATGGCTCACCCCTCAATCTTGCGTCTAGAAAATTCATTTCCATCTTACAGCTCCATTTCCACCTTTGATTGAGAAGTCTTTTCCAGTGCCAACACACAGGCCCCTGTAGACCACCACTTTGGTGCAAAGCAAAAGAGATTGTTTCTGCCTGGGAAATACCACTCTCTTCTGCTGTCCACCTCCTTATCTCTAGAGATGTCCTGGTCACCAGTGGTGCCTGATGGGGGATGGGTGGCTTCTTCCCAGGGGACATGGAAGAGAAGAGACAAACAGTGTGACTACCTGCCAGGGCAGCTTGCTCCATGGTACAAACCATTTTATGGATCTTCAAAAGATGTTTACAGTGCAGTCAAGATCCCTCTGGACAGAGTACCAGAGTACAGCCATGCCCTTGCAGATGTTTATCATCACCAGCTTCTGTGTTAATGGGTTCCATTAACACCAGTTCTGTGTTAATGGGTTATGTGAGGTCACCATGTTACCAGATCCTTTTGATTTAATGGGCTTGCCTACTTGTTACAAGGAGGATGAAAGGGCTGGGGGAGGTTGGTAACAGCGGAGACAGACTTAGTGTTGACAGGTACCTCTGAGATGACCTCTGGAGGTCATCTGCTCATCTGAGATCTGATCTCCTCCAGAACAGTAAGATGACCCTCTGAGCCTGATGTCTCCTATCAGAAAGGTTTTAAGGTTTTATGGTGCTGTGCCATCCGTAGCCAGGTGATGTCTGTGCCATCAGGGAGCAAGACAAGAGCAACCTTGCCTCTGCTTAGTGCCTGTGGAGTGGTGTCCTCAAGGCTGTGAGCAATAGCAACCTTGAGAGCCAGAGAAGGAAAATGCGAAAGTCAGTGGTGGCTTTTTGCTTCCTTGTTGACTCCTCCCTAAGTGCAGTCTTGGTGGCAGCTTTGGTGAGACACGACTGTGCTGTTCACAGAGGGTGAGTGTAGCTTAACTCTGCCCCGTGGGTCCTGCTGCCTTTGCCTGCACTGAAGTTCCTCACATCCTGCAGGGGGTGGATTCCAGATGTGAGTTTATGCTTTATCCTCTTTCAAGCACACCTTCTTCTGCAACTGGAAAACCTTTGGCATCTCCTGTGTCTTTAAGATGTCCTCATCGCTCATCCTTCTTTGTCAGCCCAGAGCAGTGAGCAGGTCTCCTCCCTGAAGGCTGCGTGAGATGGAGGGAGGGAACACAGACCCTTTCGTCTCTGGATTGTGTGCTGCCAGGTGAACCCCAGACACGAGTGCTTCCTCCAGGGCTCCTTGATGGTGGCCTTCTTGCATCAAGGGTGTAGCCAGTAGGTCAAGGGAAGTTCTCCTCCCCCTCTTCTCTGCCTTGATGAGGCCACATCTGGAACACTGCATCCAGTTCTGAGCACAGACCACAGAAATGGTGAGGGGTCTGGAGCATCTGCCCAGTGAGGAAAGGCTGAGAGAGCTGGGGCTGTTCAGCCTGGAGAGGAGGAGACTGAGGGGGGATCTCATTAGTGCTTATAAATGTCTATAGGGGATGTCAGGAGAATGGGGCCTGACTCTTTTCAGCAGTGTCCAGTGAGAGGACAAGGGACACTGGGCACAAAGTGGAGCACAGGAGGTTCAAGCTAAACATAAGGAAGAATTTCTTTCCTGTGAGGGTGACAGAGCCCTGGGACAGGCTGCCCAGAGAGATTGTTGAGTCTTCTTCTCTGGAGACATTCCAAACCTGTCTGGACATGTTCCTGCTCTGCCAGGGGGGTTGGACTAGATGTTCTTCAGAGGTTCCTTTCAAACCTGATAACTCTATGACTCTAAGCCCTTTGGTCTGGATGGTCTACATCAACTCTTGAGAAGGTACTGGCAGGCTGCAGTTTCACACCTTGTCCTACTGCATAATCGGTGCCATCTTGTCTCTTGAGAGCTGGTCACCAAACAAGGTAATTCTGTTGAGACTAAACATGGGGTTAGAAAACAGGCTCAGGTCTTTCTCCCTTTCTACTTCACAAAATGCTGAAGTTCCTGACTTGTTTTGTCTTTCCCCAGATTTATCTGCCTCTCGCCTGCAGAAAGCCAAGGAGGTGGGGGCAGATTTCACCATTCAGGTGACGAATGAGACCCCACAGGAGGTGGCTTCCAAAGTGGAAAGTCTGCTTGGCTGCATGCCCGAGATAACTGTGGAGTGCACAGGAGTGCAAGCCTGTATCCAGGCTGGCATTTATGTGAGTACCCCGTGTCCCCAAGGTGGAGCAGGGATGGTGTTGGCTTTTCTTTTTCTGGGACGCCGCAGTGAGTGGCCGATACTTTGCTCCTGTAACATCAACATCTGTGGGCTTGGTGTGGGTCAGAGAAGGTGCTGGTTAGACAACAAACTAAAAGAGACAGTTAAAGAGGTAACATCTTTGCAGGCAGCATGTGGGTAATTGTCTGATTTGATGCTCAAGTACTTCACCACTTACCAAAAGAGACTACAGGAAGACCCCAAAAGCCAACACGGCTACACAGGAGTGGGCACAAGTAGGACAGCATCTTCTATTAAGTTGAAGTTGTGTCTTAATAAGGAGAATAATTAAGAAAATTCACTCCAGCAGGTGAAGAAAGCAGTTAAGGAAGGGATGTTTTGCTGTTATGAGCAGCCTGATGGGGGGATGTGGAGAAGGTGGTGCAGATTTTCACAATGAAAGGTCAGGAGCAAGCTGCAAAAAGGGACGTTCCAGTGAAGCATCAGGCTTTTGGGTTTAAATCTCTCCCACTGAAATCCAAAAGTACTTTTCATAGTCAAAGGGCCAGTCATTTTTTAGAATGAGATTTAGATAATACAACCCTCCAGAGATTTTTGAAAGGTTTCTTGTTAACCTTGTTGATTGTGTGTTTCACCCTTTGGGGGTCCTGACAGCCTCCTGCCTCTCCCCTGGCTTCTCTGTCATGTCCTGGGCTATCCATTACAGCCACAAAGTGTGGCTTTATTTTCTGACAGGCTGCTGCACAGGCTCTGGTGACCGTGTTTTGCAAAATATAACATATTTGTGTGTTTGTTTTCCAGGCCACTCGTTCTGGTGGGACCTTGGTGCTGGTGGGGCTGGGACCTGAGATGGTCACGGTGCCCATCGTCAACGCTGCCGTGCGGGAGGTGGATATCCGGGGGATATTCCGCTACTGCAACACGTGAGTCTCGTGCAGGGTGGGCTGGTGTGCCTCCAAGTCTGTCCTTAAGAAAGTCTTGCTTTCCACAAGGAAAAGGACATGGAAAAAGCTGGTTTTCCTTACAATTGGTTAAATCTCATGTGAGTGCTGTGGTGTGTCTGGTGTGTCCTACGTTTTATGCCTTGGTTCCTGCATGAGTCCTGCACTGCAGGCTTGACCACAACAAAGCCACCCAACTGGGTTGTCCTGCTGTCTTGGGACAAGACCCAACCTAACTGCTGCAAGCCAGCAGGCCAAAATGGAAAAAAACTACGATAACCAACACTTGTGCCTTCAACTCTTCTGCCCTGTGGAAGGGGAAGCCCAGGTGCTGTGTTGTTTTGGTAGAGACTGGCTTGTCCACAAGTGGTTGTGGCCCTGCAGGGGGGAGCACACAGCTTTTAGCTGCTTCAAACCTTTATGCTGGGAGATCTTTAAGCAGCAGCTTGGCCTGGCCCTGACCATCCACACTGCTTTGTGAAAAGCTGTCTGCCTGGTGACACCTACCTTCCTGGCTCAAAATTGTCCATTTTGAGGCAAAAGGATGTAGGGAATCTTCATTCTGGGCAGAGAGCCAAAATCCCAAGCTGCATCCTGGGCCAACCTGTGCATCTCCAACCTTTTGGTGGCGCCTGGCTCTGCTTTCCTGGCTGGTCATGGACTTAGATCCCATCATCAGTCTTGCTGGAGATCAGCAGATACTGGGATGAACAAGAACCTTGTTTTGTTTTGATCATTTGGTTGGACCTGAAGTTACATCCAGAGCCAGTCTGGAGGTGTATGTGCCCTCTACAGAGAGCTGAAATGCATGGCTCATGGACAGGCAGATCTTTGGCTCATTGACAGGCAGGTCTTTGGCTTGTGGACAAGCAGGTCTTTGAGTGTACTGAGAGTGGCCTTGCCCTGAAGGCAGCAGGAGCTCAGCTGTCCTCTTCACTCTTGTACTCCTTGGGCAGGGCTTGAGGCCCAACACTGCCACTTTGCAGCCTGGTTTCTACTCTGTTTAGAGACTGCTAGTGGAGCAAGAGTCTTGCTTAGTCTGTAGAGGTTGTTTTCCGGGAAGGATTTATGAGATGTAGTCAAGCTCCTTCTTAAGATGAGGAGTGGCAGTTTTTAAGATGGCAGTTTGGAAGTGAGATGAGCTGCAACCCTTTATATCTCCATCACTGTGATCTGACCCCTTCCAGTGGGTGGCAAGGCAATCAACCTGAGCCAGTCTCTGCCGAAAAGGAGGGTGGAAGCTGAGGGAGGCTTTTCCTTTCTTCTCCCTGCATTGAGTTGGTGAGTTTGCAGGGGTCAGGCTGCAAGCACAGAGCCTGGCTGAGAGGAGCACAGCACACAGCAGTTCTGGTTTTCGTTTGGTGTTTCAGATCTATAGTAGTTTCCTGTGATTTTCAGTTACTTTCCACTTCCTTTCTTCCTTGCCTGATGCTGGAGATTCCTCCTCTGGAGGATTTTTTGTGGCCAAAAGCCCCCTTGGTTGAGGCAATTACTGTCAGGAGCCAGGGTCCTCCATGGTCCTTCCTTGGGGCTCTGGGCTGGTGACTTCTCTCACCTCCTGCTCTCCCCTGCCCTGCAGGTGGCCCGTGGCCATTGCTCTCCTGGCATCCAAGCGGATCAACGTCAAGCCCTTGGTCACCCACCGCTTCCCTCTGGAAAAGGCTCTTGAGGCCTTCGAGACCACCAGGAGGGGCGAGGGGGTAAAAGTCATGCTGAAGTGTGACCCCAATGACCACAACCCCTGAGATGCCACCGTGCCCGGCCCCTCTCCCCCTTCCACCGCCTGCCTGAGGTGGGAAGCACGAGGCCACAGGAGGCTGATCCTTGGCTGTTGCACATTTCCAGTCACCTTGTGCAGGCTGCTTTGTAATAGAGCTTGAGAATCAAATGCTAATGAGGGTGAATGACACCAGGGGACGCACCACTAGAGTATTAACAGGTACCTACAAATGGAGAAGCAATAGGGGAATAGTTTGGATCAAAACACTGCTGTTTGGTTAGAGATGGTGGTTTGCACAGTTGGCTCTTTTCTGGCAGACCCCTGTGGAACCTCCTTTTCTGGTAGAGCTGCCTGTGGAATTTGTCCCTGTGGACACGCTGGGGATGGTGCCACCATGGGTGATGTTGTCTCTCCACCTTCCTGCTCTAGCACTGCCCTGGAGCTGTGCTTGCCACAGCTCTTCCCACATGGCAACCCCTAGGTTGTGGGGTTAGCCTTCTGTGAGTACTCCATCTTCCAGTCACACTGTCCCTCGAGGACACTCGGGGACTGTCACAGCCTGTGGAACAAAGCATGGCCAGCCCACCCTTTGAGGGAAGTATCTGTACGTTCAGGTCATTCTCTCCATGCTCTTTGCAAATAACAAACTGCAGGCCCAAAGCTCAAAGCCCAGGGATTATTTTGAAGCAGCAGCTAGTCTGGAGGCCAGTTGGGACCATATCTGCTGGGTCTTACTCCATCAGCAGCTCCTCAGGGGGCAGAGGGACCACTGCAGAGCGGGGTGCAGGGAAACTTGGGGCTGCAGGGAATCCTGTCCTCATGCAGCTCCCAAGGAGGGGCTGTGCTGGGGACATAGCTCACTTGGCATGGAGGGGAGCATAGGTGGGAAGTGAGGGGACATCACTCAAAGGTTTTATCACTGTGGATCATAACTTTTCAGGGATTTCAGGCCTTCCTCTGAGTTTGTGAGCCATGAACAAGGTACTAGTGAGGTAGCAGGTTGCAGGTAGCAAAATTAAGTTTTGATTACAGGCATGTTAATTTTAGTACTGGGAGATAAGTCCCTTTCTTGGGCCGGTACTGAACTTTCCTCAATAAATGTGACCTACCTGATGTGTCTGTGTCCACTGAAGGGTTGGGTGGGTGGTTTGAAGGGATCTGGGACTTTGGGTGCTGGGGGGACTGTGCAGACCCCTGGGCTGTTGCACTGCTGGGTCTTGCCAGGCTGCAGGTGAGCTCAGTGCTGGCAGGACCATGAAATGAAATGAAATGACCCAATTACTGGCAAAGTCCCCAAAATAAGAAGGACATGTAGCTCCTGGAGAGAGTCCAGAGAAGGCCATGAGGACCTGAAGGGGCTCCAGGAAAGCTGGGGAGGGGCTTTGGACAAGGGCAGGGAGTGAGAGGACATGGGGAGATGGATTAGAACTGGAAGAGGGGAGATTGAGGTGAGACATGAGGAGGAAATTCTTGAGTGTGAGGGTGGGGAGAGCCTGGCCCAGGTTGCCCAGGGAAGCTGTGGCTGCCCCATCCCTGGCAGTGTTGAAGGGCAGGTTGGATGGGGCTTGGAGCAGCCTGGGCTGGTGGGAGGTGCCTCTGCTCATGGCAGGGCAGTTGTGACTAGATGATCTTTAAGGTCCCTTCCAACCCAAACCAGTCTGTGATTCTATGGTTTATTGCAGAGGTGGCAGGATTAATCTTGGCCTGTGAGTCTGTGCTGTGTTTTACAGGCCTAACTCATAACCTGGGGAAACCTTCTGTAGTCGGAAGGAAAAGTGGTCAAAATTTCACTGAGAGAAAAGTGGGGTGATCATGTGTCATCCTGAGCAGGTAGAACCCACCCAGGGGCCTGGCTCCATAATCTGACGCAGTGTGGGCAGCACCCAGCCAAGAGCTGCTGGAACACGCCTTGCTGAAGGGTGGGTGGTGGCTGGGGAGGGCCAACCTGCCCTGGTTTTGGCAATGGGGGTGAGATGGTGCTTTTTTCTGAGCTCTGGGGCTCTCACAGAGTCCCAGAATGTTGGGGGTTAGAAGGGACATCTGAAGAGCATCGAGTCCAACCCTCCTGCCAGAGCAGGACCAAAACTAGGGCAGATCACTCAGAAAGGCATCCAGACAGGTCTGGAAAGTCTCCAGAGAAGGAGACTCCACAGCCTCTCTGGGCAGCCTGTCCCAGGGCTCTGTCACCCTCACAGCAAAGAAGTTCTTCCTCATGTTGAGCTGGAACTTCCTGAGCTCCAGTTTGAATCCATTGCCCCTCGTCCTGTCACAGGGCACAAGTGACAAGAGCTTGTCCCTGCCTTCTTGCTGCCCTCATGTATTGAGAAACATTAATTTAGATCTCCCCTCAGTCTTCTCCTCTCCAGCCTGAACAGCCCCAGGTCTCTCAGCCCTTCCTCATCAGGCAGGTGTTCAAGTCCCTTCATCATCCTCGTAGCCTCTGTTGGACTCTTTCCAGCACATCCTTGTCCCTCTGGAACTGGGGAGCCCAGAACTGGACACAACACTCCAAGTGAGGCCTTACTAGGGCCAAGTAGAGAGGGAGGAGAACCTCTCTTGACCTGCTGGAGACACTCGTAACGCACCCCAGGATACCATTTGCACAGCTGGACACCACTGGCCGTCACAGAGCCCTGTCACTACAGGTAAACAGAGACTTGCTCCCTGTGGTCTGGGGAGGCTGTTTAACACCCCCAGGGCTGAACCTATTCCCACAACTCCAGGCCTTTGGACTCCTTGCTGTAATTTGCTCCCATGTCAGGTCTTGCTGAGGCCATTATCACTGCAGGGCATTGCTGTGGTGATGGGGCTGGTAGGACACAGTCCATGGAGCTGTGCCTGGGCTCAGATCTGTAGTCCCCTCCATCCACCCCATGTCCATCACTGGGGAAACTCCATTTTAATCAGTGGGCTGGTGTAAAGCCTCCACAACAGGAGGAAGCCCCGCACTATGCCACAATTATCACAAGTCCCCAGATGACCAAAACCCAAGTACAGGAGGCAAGAAAATGAGGTTTTAAAACTTCAGTCAGGTTTATTGAAGCTCAGTCACAGCCTGCACTAGTGGCAGCCCCAGCAATGCACACCCAGGCCTCGGTTAAACCAGCACAAATTATCCCTTATCAAAGGATGATGAAAGAAGCCAACACAAGCACATCTAAGGTTGGATGAAAACCAGGGAGGGCTTGGGGTGCTAATGAGCAGATAGAAACCAGGGGGTTAGGAAATTTGACCCTGTTTGGAGGAGATGCACTTGTCACCAGGGCCTCAGAGCAAGGTGCTGTGCACTCAGGTTGTGCAGCCACTAACTGTTCCCCAAAGCTCTTTAGAGCTTCTCTCAGCTGCCTGGCAGAGCATGAGCTCTGTTTTGGGGGATTAGGGAGGCAGAGCCAGGCTTAACTGGAACTCTGGGTACTTTGGATGGGGACATGGCATGACCCTGGGTGCAGGAGTAGTAGCAGGGTGCTCTGGACTCAGGGGGTCACACTAGCGCTGTGGGGGGTGATGGACACTTTGCTGGTGGCACCACATGCTTATCTCAGCTCTGCAGGTCTCAGCAGCCACGCTCTGAGCCCTAGATGGCTTTCTCCCAGGAATGGTGGTGGGTGAGAGCACAGGACCATGACCACCCAAAGCAGTGCCAGACAGGAGCTGGGCTTGAACGCACATTT